TGCTTGCCACAATAACTTTAAGTTGTACGTGTAAGTTGTCACCACTCATCATTATTTTATCGTGCTCGGCTACTGCGGCTTAACAGTTTTCGTTCGCATTTGAATGGGTCGTTGAGAATTGTTGACCAAAAACATTACCATTAACTGAAATTAAAATGCGGTTAAATTATCTTGGTGTCAGTGTAAATGTTAATTCTATGTTCAATTTTAGCAGTCGTACGTAGAAAAGGAAGTGCTTTAAATAAAAGAAAAATATATAGGTTTTATGAAGATATATAAAGATATTTTATTTCTTCTTAGACTTCTTCAATGCTTAAAATGTACAGTTTTACATAGTTGTCGTAATCCTATCCTTTATAATAGTTTGAAAGGATTGATTTCGCGTTGAGGTTTTGACTCTTTTCTTATCTGCTTAAAGTATCGGTCTACAACTTTGCTTCCGCCGTTTTTTTTTTCAATATTAAACTCTTTATTGCGAAAAAGTGCTTACAGATATATTATTCAAAGTATTGTCCTTCGCTAGCGACAACTTTCTCCCATCTTTCCGGCAATTTTCGGATCCCGGCTCGAAGAAAAGAGTCCTCTTTTGACGCTATCCATGAAGCAATCCATTTTTCCAATTCTTCGAAGGATTGAAAATGTTGATCTGCCAGGCCGTGTGCCATCGAACGGAATAGGTGGAAGTCAGAAGGGGCGACATCTGGGGAATACGGCGGGTGGGGCAAGACTTCCCATTTCAGCGTTTCCAGGTACTTTTTGACCACTTTTGCGACGTGAGGCCGAGCATTGTCGTGTTGGAGGATGACTTTGTCATGTCGCTCTTGATATTGTGGCCGCTTTTCTGTTAGCTCGCGACTAAGGCGCATCAGTTGTGCTTGGTAGCGATCTCCTGTGATGGTTTCACCCGGTTTTAAGAGCTCGTAGTAAATCTTTGAAAATTTTTTCTCTTCCACCATCATGTTTGTCTTCGACATCGAAATCACCATTTTTAAAACGTTGAAACCACTTCCGACACGTTCTTTCACTCAGAGCAGCATCACCGTAAGTTTCTGAGAGCATTCGATGCGCTTCAGCTGCATTTTTTTTTTTCGAATTGTAACAGAAAAGTAAAACTTCCCGCAAATGACGACATTTTCAAGCGTGAATAATATGAAAACAAGAACAACTATCACTGAAACGACGATGACAATTCGTTAGGCACTGTCCACACTCACTTTAAAGGCATTATCTTCTATGTATTTCACTCAGCCTCAGCCGGTACAGCCACCTATCGGAAAACGGCGGAAGCAAAGTTGTACACCTGATAGCTTCCGTTAAACAAGTTGAGTTCCTTGTTTTCCAGAAGTTAATGCATCTGTTACTGCTAGACGCAAACGTCCTTGATTTTTGCGCAGTTGAGTATGTGTAGAGTTTGGCGATATCATGGTGAAGCACTACGCCTCTGCGATTGGCATATTAATATATGTAATTATAGTTTTGATTAACATAAAATGATATATTAATTTTGGTCCGTCTGTAGGTCTGTCGGAAATGTACAGAGTAAAACATCGAAATCGAAGTTTGCATTTTGCTATAAATATAAATGTTCTTAATTCCTGCGTTCAGTTTGGATAGTTGACCGCTGTATGCATTCAAATAAATAGTTTTATTTCGAACGAGCAAAGAGGCACAGATGGGAAAGGGTTTTATGTCATGGATTTCTTCTAATTCGTGAGTTATCGAAACTCACAGTTTGTTTGCTTAATGAAGCCGAACTAAGTCCTAGTAGACGGTTGATATTTCGAGCATTTCTGCAATTTCTCAAGTTAACATTTCGCTTCCACTAACCTTTATATGGTTGTTGTTATTGTTGTTTGTTCGTTAATCCCGCTCAGGTACATCGTAGATCAGTCCTCGAGATCATCTAACGGGAAGTTCAGGAACCGAGCTGTTCCAACGGGTTCGGACCAGCGTAAAAGGGGGGTTAAATGAGTTGGTCTGGCAAAGGGTGGTTAGATCATCGTATGGACACCCATTGGATGCTTATGTTGGGTTTGTCGGGGTCAAGTCTGGATAGTTAGAGGTTTAATCTACTACAACATCTGGATCTAAGTCTAAGGAAAGAGTTTCGAAAAATAAAAGTTAAACAGCAGCGGGGAGAGGACATCGCCCTGCGCAACGCCTTCTTTATTTTTTCGTAGGTTCGCTGTTTGACCTCGAAGCTACCACTCAGCTAGCTCATGGTCCGCCTCTTCAATCCCGGCGATAATGAGGATTCCTCAGTGTCCGATAGTACCACTGTGATAGTCTGCGCTACTGATAAGATGAGAGGAATGATGATAATATGAAAATTTGCTCCCGCTGGTCCTTGTTATTTTAGCATCAGCATGCTTATTACATCGAGGCCAAAACGAGCATTCCAACGCCAGCACTGCCGTTAAGCTGAACCTTCCTCAAAATAATTTATGTCGAACTTGAACGACAAATTCGAATTCAGTTCATAAGCCAACGAGTTGACCACAGACGGGACATAACTTCATAGTTTCGAAGCAGCACTCGAACATTTCCCATACTAAAGCATTGGAGATAAAACGGGTGATCCAGGGTAAATGCGGACTGCAAATAATTCAAATTTTATTTTCGAAATAACTTAATTGAGTTGTGCTGAGTTGCTGCGGCTGCAGGCCATTACCATCACACTTAGTCCAATAGAGCCATTGTGATACTGCTGTGAGGCTCCTCTTTCACTTTTTCAAATGATCTAACCATTTCTTGTGTATTATTAAAGTATCGAAAAATTTTCGCTGGGGCTAGCTCAACGAGACAGTCGCTGAAGTGTTTCCCCAGGAATTTGTGTTGCATTGATGTCAAGGTTGGACAGTGGCAGAGGCAGTGATCAATAGACTCCTCCTCTTCTTCGTCCCTACAGCTGCGGCGCAATTCATTGGAGTGGTAGCCCATTCTCTTCCTATGAAGCCACATTTAACAATGGCCTGTTATTAAGCCTTTCATAATGTTAATGGAGAACCGGTCTAAAAGAATAAGATGTTTTGATTTCTTGCGTCCAACCTTCGCCATAGCTGTCTGGACAGGTTAAATGTGATCTCATTCAGCCATATTGAGGCTGATTTTCTAACAAGGGCTAGTTTAAGCAAATATTTTGCAGTAGCCAAAGGTAAACTGGCAGCGAGTGCATATTTTATTATGGATATAATACCAAAAATTGAAGGAGGAGATCGGCCGAAGACAGCTTCAGCTGTTACAAAGTGCCCCAATGCAGAACAGAAAATCTGTACCACAATTCACGTTACTCACACATACATAGATTACAAGTAGAGAATTAGAGCAATTTAATTAAAATTGAGAAAAAAAAGTCAATACTTTATCAATACAACGGCACACGCGCCTATTATCTGTTAACCAAAAAAAAGTTCACCTCTTAACGCTGATTCGTAATCTTCTCAATGACAGTAAATAGAAAAATATTCATAAATTATTAGTGTGAAAAGAAAGAAGACATAAACAATTTGCCAAAATATTTCCCGCCCACTACACACTACTGGAAAAACACAATAGCAACAAACTGCGGCATGCATATGAATAATAAAGCAAGAAATCACAAATCCCCGCAACGTATAATTGAGCCCTGCCAACGCTGCATGAGCATGGGAGACCATTGATTTTTTTCGCATTGCTATCAATATTACACACTACTACTAAAAACCACTATAGCTTGAGCTTTTCTTAGTCCCAAACCCTCTTGTCAAGCAACAAATGGACATATCTACATACATGCAGTTGAGCAGCAAAACAGCTGCTGCCAAACTATTAGAATGACTTTTCTTCCTTACCACCATCCATACATACATCCATACATACATATATATATATATAAATATATTGGTCTGAACATTTGCACAGTAAATATGTATATACATATATGCTCGCATAGACCACCTCACAAGGGTAGTTGTTGCAGCGTCAGATATGATTTTGAAATCTGTACTGACATGATTTGCAGAAAGCCTTCAACAGCCAAAGACAAATAGTTTTCTACTGTTGTTGTTGGAATCAACCTCAAGAATAAATGATAAATTATTGAGGCCATTGTTAATTTGATGACACTTAAACCGAATCCGGATTATCTCAATGTCTGCCGCAATATGCCTGCTTACAAGTGAGTGTAAGAGTGTAGAGCCAGTTCCGGTGAGTAGGGTGGTTTCTTTGCTTGGAATAAAAGCAATTGCGTTTTATTTTGATTGTTTGTGAGATTTAATACGACAAAGTCATTTAAATTTCTATAATTATGAAATTGATGCATATACAATTATTAAAAGCAAGATAATTAATGATATGCGCAACTTACGAATATTTGTACAAACAAATGTATATTAAAAGTACATATTTACATGTTAATCTTACTTTAATTGTATTGCGCAATTTGTTAGCAGTAGTGCAATTAAATTTTAACCATTAACATCTTTTGATTTAAACAACTTTTAAACCATCACCTTAAATTTTTCACAAAGCCGAAAAAGTATTTCACTTGAATTGGCGCAATAAACGGATGCTACAGATGACAACGGAAGCGGACGTACACAGTGTCGTATGCTTCACGTTCGCATAATTTTATGAAAACATTTAAAATAAGTTCGATTTAAACTTAAAACCTTAAGAAATTGCAAAGGAGAGGCAAAATTTAATTAAACGTACTTTGAGCCAGCAAATATACTGATTTTTTACTACACAATCTCATACTTATTACAAAAATGTATCTTATGGCACACCCTGTACCAGCTACAGTTTAAACAAACTATGCCAATGAACACCGCCGGTGGAACAGCTGTTTGCGGGTAGAAATGTGTATCTTCTTCAATTTAATTTTTGTTAAGGGCAATTGTTGAGAATCGTGTTATTGCCTTTTGTACACTAAATTTATAATAATTCTAAACTCAGTGAAAAACTTTATGATGTCGTCAAGGTTGTTAATATTTGTTTAACTGTTTTGCTTAATTTTTCTTAATAAAACTGAACTTCTTTTTCCCCTTACGAAGGTCTAATGGGTTAACAACATTGTGTCAACACGTTGTTGCATTTTGTTATCAATTTACTACACGCGTTTCTTTTCACTGTTTATTAGTCGCAAGTAAAAAAGTGTTTTTTTTATAAAATTTATTAAGTAAATAAATTGTGGAAAAATGTCTACATCGCTACAAGAACAATTACAGCGTCTGGCTGTGCCACAGACCATGGCCCTGGCCGATTCGCGTTCGAAAGCTTCTGTGCTCTTCGATCGCAAAGAGGCCGGTACCAAAACAAGACGCATCATATTTGAGATCGGTCTGGCTGGTTTACAGGAATTAACAGCAATAAATCCCATCTTTCAATCATTCGAGGCTACGTTATTCAATGAATCTACTATGGATTTAGAACGTTCGGTGGAAGAGAAAGATGTAAATAAACTATTGGATCGCAATATCAATAAATTCCTGGAGCATCTTTCACCTTACTTCCTTTTACGTCCGACACTTATGTGTTTAGAGTGGTTAATACGTCGCTTCCACATACAAGAATATAATCGCAATGCTCTACTCGCATTGGCTTTGCCATATCATGAAACTGGTCCATTCATTTTAGTATTGCAGGTGATCCGTATCAAACAATCAGATACAGAATGGAGTTGGTTAAAACCTCTTCAGAGATCGGGTGTCAGCGTACCCAAAACTGCAATAATTAATCGTGCCGCTACTGATGCTGCATTCCTCAAATTTATCTGTCAATCGACGTTGGATGCCGTAAAGGAGTTGGGCACTCGTGCCAACTCGCTGCAGACGCAATTGAATTTTTATGCTTCTGTAGTAGTTGGTGCTTTAGAACATACATCTGTTGTCGCGGAATGGCATATAATTACTATTTTGCCTTCATTACTGAAAGGTTTACAATCGGAGGTGCTAGATTTTGCTTCCGCTGCTTACATCGTAGCCACACAGTTGGTGGCACGCACCCAGGTGACATCAAAATTGTGTAATGCTCTAGTTGAGCGTGCAGCTGCAGTGACACATGAGCGTTTACGCCAAACAGCAGTTTTATTCCTTATCTTCTTATTTGACAGTCAAAAACGCGCTAAGCCGCATTTTACTGAAGCAACGTTACTGAATTTGGCAACACAAAATTGGCTCACTGCGAACTTAGCCAATCTGGCTAAAGAGAATGTGTATTTACATGCACTGTATGTGGCATTGCTACAGCAAGCAATTAGTGTCATACAAGCAGGTCATCAAGAAGCAGATATATTAAAGGAATTTTTGGAACGTCTATTGTATGATGTGCAAATAAATGATGATTCTTCGAAGGAGATAATAAGGTTAGTAGTCTAATTTTCAAGTACAAGCAATAAATAATATTTTGATTGTATTAAAATAAGAAAAAACATTTTGCTTTCAGCGCTTTTCTTAATTCATACAATGAGTTACCACAATCCTCACCGAAAAAAGGTTTGCAAGACGGTGATATGATTGAACTGAGTTCGGATGAGGAAATGGAGGATGAAAGTAGCAGTTTTAGGGCATGGTATTCAGATTATTTGCGAAAATTGGAAAGAAAATATCCCGTCGCCTTCGATCTGACCATAAAGGACGGCCTTAGCTCAAACTCTCAAGAATTTGCAAGCAATCGTGGTGTACTAAAAATGGCCTTAGGTACTAAACGCAAACTTTTTTACTTTTTATATTCTTCACACACTGATTTAAATTGCTCTGTGCTAGTAAAACTCTTAAACTTTATATGCTTTTGTTAACAGGCTTTCGCTTAAAGACATTTGATCCAAGCGCTACAGATATCTACGAGCAGCTTTACCATCATACCGCCAAAATACGTGCCTTCGCCGTACAGACTTTATTAGCCAATTTAAATGATTACAGCGCACGTCCACAAAATATGCATTTACTGCGTGAATGCCTTGCGGATCGCATATCAGACGATAGTGAATTGGTCGTCAAAGAGATTTTAAAACTGCCCACAAGAGAGTTTGTGCAAGTATTGGGCGCTGATAAAGTAGCTGCGGCTTTGATTGGCATCTTAAACAAAATTCAACAAGATTCCCAACAATGGGCACCACTCACCGCTCTTACAGTACGTCACTTGACGAGTACAGAAATTTTGGCAAATTATGATACAAATATAATATTGTTGGCCTTAATGCCACTGCTATTTCCGGATAATAATAGCGAATTCATATACAATGCTATTGCGGAAATACTCAAAAGTCCATTAAATGCCAAAATTGGTTTCCTAAAGGAGCTAAAGCTGGTGAGGCAGAGTGCAGATTTCAATGCTGTTGAATTTAAGCAACAATTCTTTGCCGTCACCTCAGAATCGAACGCTACACCAAGCGGTTTAAGTCTATTCCGCAGCGTTGAGTCGCATGGAGAAGGCTTATTAAAGAGTGCATTAAATTTCTCACACCTCCTACTATTGGCCACAGCATGTTTGAAAACTGAATTAACCGGTGCTGAAGCTGGTTACATATTTGCACAAATACGCACCAATTATCGCCGCTTCCGTATACGTCACTTGGAGAGCAAGGAGCTGATGGTGAAAGAGCAGTGTATACCATTGCAACTCTTCTCCGATTTCATCATTACCTTAGCGCAGCATACACATTTTGAGCATCTCTTCGAATGGGAGCAAATACACGATGACTTACGCACATTTCTCAGTATTTTTAATTTGCTTTCAGAGGAGGGCTTTGGTCTGTGCAACACCGATCAACAAATTGAATGGTTAAATACGCTGAAAGAAGTCTTCGATGGTACCTTCGGTAATGCACAGTTAAAATTGGAGTTTCTCAGCAACTTTTATGTCTACGAGAGCAATGAAGCCGTTGGCATTGAGTATCCGCTGTTACGCTTGCGCGCCTTTAAGCTAATGAATGCTTTGCTGAAAAATAAAAATAATAAATTGCAATTCAACACCTCACATGTGTTTCGTTTAGCAAGCGCTTTGAATGCGCCATCGGAAACCACACGCCTGCAAGCGCTCGAAACGCTCAAAGTGCTAAAGGAAAACACAGCGCTCAGTGCGCATTTAACGCACTTTGTGGATAGTATCTTGGCGCGCAGCTATGAGTTTAGCATGGATCACGAACAATTTCCACTCATTTTGTATACGATATTGAAACCGAGTAATAAAAAACAACAACCACACAGCCTTAAAGTGCTGCGTGAAATTGTGCAACTAGTTACGGCGCCAGAAGCGCTGCAACATGCTGGCTTCACTGCGCAGATACTGAGGACACTGAAACACATTAGTGGTGCCAGTTTATTGGGCGATTTGATACCGTTGGGCGCATGTGCTTTGGAGAAAACGCAAAACGAGGACGGTTTACTGATCCTGCCACAACCCTACAGCACAATTTTGCAATTAATTTGCGATCGTTTCGAGAGTCAAACGATTGAAAATGTTTTGCTAGATCAACCTGCTGCTTGGCAATTTGTTGAGAAAATATTCGCCGCACACAAGGTCTTCATACAGCATGGCAGTAAACTGCGTTCGGTACCATGTGTTTTACTCGAAGCACTCGACGAGTACTGTTACGAGAAAATGCCACAAAATTACAAGAACAATTTAATCAAATTGATTGTTGCAACAATAGCCGCATCCGATACTGACGCAGTCTTTCTCAGCGCCAATAAGCTGTTGAAGCGTTGCAGCATTAAGTGTGCGCCATTCGTCGAGCTACTAGCGCAAATGTATCGTATTGACGCGGCCACAGCGGCCGCCGTCAGCGCCAAGCGTAAGTCGTTGGCCTCTCCAACAACAACCGCTGGTGGTGCTGGCAAACGCGATGCGAAGTCGCAAAATAATCTAGCAGCACAGGTGACTACTGTTGCCTGGAAGCAAGGTGTGGCACTACTCGAATTGCTGGAACATAGAAAACGTCTAGACGAGACCGAACAACTGTTGGCGCCTTTATTTGAATTGTTGCGCTTCTGCTTGGAGTTGGAAGAGCAAACCGTGGCCGAGTATACAAAGCAGTTGACGCTCACCACACTGCTGCACTGCTGTCAGCTCGCACAGAGCGCTGGCATACAACTAACGCAAGTGCTGCCAAAGTCCACCTTCCGCATTGATTTGATTGTGCAATGCGTGCGCGGCACACAAAATCCACAAACGCAGAACAACGCCTTGCTACTGCTGTCCCACTGCGCTGCGATTTACCCGCAACAAGTGCTGCATAGCGTTGTTGACGTTTTCACCTTTATGGGCTCGTCGGTGGTGCGTCACGATGACGCCTTTAGCTTTCACATCATCAGCAATGTCATCGAATCGATTGTACCCATACTTGTGCGTTCGCAATATGCGGTGAAGGGCGGAGATAGCAACCCCACTGAGTTGGTCATACCGGTGCTGAAAGTGTTCTCCGACATACTGTTGGATGTGCCGGAGCATCGACGTTTACCACTCTATAGTAAATTGTTGCTGACCCTTGGTGCGGAGCGTTATTTAGCCATTTTCTTATGTATTGTCTTCGAAGCGCATGTGTTGGAAGATGAGAAGCAACGTCTTCTACAACGTAAAAACAAAAATGATAAACGCAACAGCACAGCGGCAGCCACGGAGAAGTTTTCGAAGCGTTTTGAAATTTGTTTAGAACTTACCAATACTTTCGAGCCACAAACTACATTGCAGACTTGCATTGAGCTGCTAAATTACATTAAATCACTGCCGGTCGACAAGCAAGACGATGCGGCTGGTAAAGGTAAAGTGAAGAAGTCACAAGCAGCAGCAGCAGATTTAACGGAAGTGTGCCTCTTCGATGTCAAGTGTCGTACTGCAAAGCAGTTGCGTCATTACAAATACACCATTATGCAATTTCTATCGAGCTTTTCAAATTCACCTGAGTTTCTACGGAAAATTGCACTTCTCAGCGATGCCGAACAGTTGGCTATTAAACCATTCTATCAGAATTTCATTATAAAAACGCTCTCCTATGTACCATTGGTAAATACGGCGATTGAAAATACTGAAGAAGCATCACAAATTAAATACTGGAAAGTCATACTACACCACTTACACGATGTGTTGGATAATGCAATCTCACTGCTCTCGCCCGACATGTTCCTCGTCGTCATACATGGTCTCATGCGGCACCAACTCGTTTCCATACGAAAGAAAGTCATTGAATTGCTCATCAATAAACTCCAGCAACGCGACAATTACTTTGATAATTGCGATCCACAAAATTTCTACAATCTTCTGCGGCCATTGAGTGAAATCACAGCCGACATACTCGCAAAACACGAGATACCGGCCACGCCAGGCACTGCATCACCGTTGTCTAACTCTACTAATGAGTGGGTTTTCCTACAGCAAACAGCGCTCATCGCCATTAAGCTCTTGTCGAAAATGTTTGCCCTTCAACATATCGACGAATTCAAGGAGATACTCGCACATCTCATCAAGGTATTGAAACAACGTTCGAAAATCTCAAAAATTGTACTGGCCACAGTTGTGTTGACCATTATAGAGATCTCTTCGAATTTGAAGGCGCATTCATTGGCGCTGCTGCCGAAATATATGCCGCATATGATTGAGATACTGCAGGATCAAGCGAAGTTGGTGCAGGCGCAACCACCGGATAATGTCTGCATTGCGATCATAACAGGTGAGTAGACATAGTTGGAACATGTCTTCGACTCTGTGGGCCAAGTCTTTTAGTGCATTCTGCAGTGTCTTTCAACGGCTACTCACTTCGAGTCCGGTTTCGACCAACATCCAAAAATATATTTACTACGTGCGGTCACCCCTCTGCAGGGAATGTCAAGCCCTGCGAATGTATTTCTGACTTGAAATAAAAGGTTCCTCATAAAAATCCATCAGCCGCTCGGAGGCGGCATAGAATAAACTGTAGGTCTCTCCATTTATTGCGAAAACTTCAAGACGCAAAACCACAAATGGAGTTCCTCCTCCCTCGGCTGAAAATCGTTTCAGCGGTTACTAAGCGATAATGATGTAATATAGGGGCTATAGACAAGGACTCATCTAGGAAGTATGCACGTACCATCAGTTGTCTCGGGGTAGCCGCGTACATTGTAGGCGAGACTCCCATGGATTCAGTATTAAAACTACTCCTCTAACGCATCTCCTCCTTTACTTTGACTCAGCAAAGACAACTCGTTTTCTGGAGTTCCGGCTACATGGCCGGGCCTCCTAAGTGCGGCTCGATAAGGCAGACATTGTGTTAAGCGTTATGTAGACCCTGGTGTGCAAAAGCTTAAGTTTTCAGTTCTAACCTATTTTAACTAGTAGCAATCTTCTCTTAAATGTGGTAAAGCCCTTAAAGCACCTTAGTCCTATCAGCAATTTTACAGACTTTTAGTATATCAACTCATTTTACGCTCCTAACCTAACTTACTTCTAATTGACTATTTTTTCTTCCAACCTCTTTTCAGGCACCCAAAAACTCTTCGAATCCCTTCCACTGTTTCTCGGTCCTTATGTGGTCGATGTCATAACTGCGTTAAGTACAATTTCCGCCAACATAAGTGCTCAACAAATTGAACGAGATCAACGCGCCACCACCGCTCTACATCGCATCACTACCATCTGGTTGAAAATAGCCAGCGACGTGCCGGTGCGCATACTTGTACCGAGCTGTGAGAAGGCCTATCACAAGCTAATGGCTGCCAACAACTACGCCGACATCGGTGTGCTGATGCAGCTGCTGCCCGAATGCATTAATAAAACCGCCAGTGCCGAATTGAGTGCGGTACAAAGTGAATTGGGCACATTCTTTTTGCATGCTTTAGAGTTTCGCCTGCAGGTGCGTGGCAATTGTGAACATGAACGTGTGGCCAGCACGGAAAAAGTCATTATTGATGCAGTCGTTACGTGGGTGTTGAAATTATCGGAAAGTAGTTTCCGTCCATATTACGAAAAGGTCTACGAGTGGGCCATTAAACAGCGGGCGCAACGTGAAACCATATACACCTTCTTTTCGCTCACCAACAAAATCGCCGATGCGCTTAAATCGCTGTTCTTATTGTTTGCACGTGACGTCATTGATGATGCGGCGACTTTCCTCAATGAATACAATACAACGAAACAAAATATTGATGCCGATGTCGAGTCACTTACTGCTGATATAGTGAAATCCATTCTAACCACACTCTACGTACTCTTCCTGCACGACAGTAAGGGTTTCATGAACAGCCAACGTTTTGAGGTGCTTATGCAGCCGTTGGTCGATCAGTTGGAGAATCGTTTGGTGTTGGAGAGTGAGGAGTTGCAGCAAGCTCTGCAAACTTGTCTCGCTCAACTTGCGGCAGCCGTCTCCAATGATATCATGTGGAAGCAGTTGAACTATCAGGTGCTCATGAAGACGCGCACAAATGTGCCTGAGGTGCGCATATTGTCCTTCAACTGCTGCCTGGAGATTGCACGAAAATTGGGTGAAGATTTTACACCTCTGCTGCCGGAAACTGTACCTTTTGTGGCCGAATTATTGGAGGATGAGAATCAACGTGTGGAAAAGAATACACGCAAAGCCGTACAGGAGCTAGAGAATATACTTGGGGAATCGTTGCAGAGTTACTTATAAGTGTGGACTTAATTCAGTTTGATGGATAACCAAAGTTCGGCATAAGTAATTACAAGAAGCGTAAATAATAAAAATTTTTATTCAAATAAGAGTTTCTTTCACTGTTAAGCAAAAACAAACGTTCAAAAATATTTGGCTCATATTTTTTTATTCACTACTGTTTGACCTCGTCTTAGAAAACTCGGAGCTTAGCATTTCAAAGCACTAGTGGAGACTTCAAAAATGAATATTAAGGCTTTTAGGAACCTCACTCTGCCACTACAATCGGTCTATCAGCCGACCAGTGTAGCCTTACCTAGCTTAACTATCCAACCTCGAAACTCCCAAGATGTACGTTAATGACCGCTCCAACTTATTGTCTGTGAAGGGAATGGAGCTCAAAGAAAACTTTTTGCAATTTTTATATCGTCATCATACTACCGGCTAAAGCACAACGTCAAGGTTTTTGATATCCCTTCCAGATATCTGATGCTGATGCTGTCAACACCTTCCTAACTCTCGAAAGAACACCTATTGCAGTCGAAGATTTTGAACTGCCTCGAGAGTGCCGCGTATATCCTGCGTGCAATAAGTTCCAACACGACACCAACCACCTTTTTGCATACCCCCTAAAATCAACTCATTTGACCCCATTTTCTTCTGGGAAACACCTAGTTGCATGGACCTTCCTTACAGGACATCCTGCCCATAAGCGGAGTTAGTGAACCGCTATCTCTTCAGCAATCGCATTCGCAGTCTAACGGGAAAAGCACCCCGGCTCTATATAAATGTGTTTTGGTTGTGCACTGAGCTTAAGCCGCGCAACGTGAAAATCAAATCGAAAAAAATCTCGAATGAAAACTTCTTATTAAATTGAGGAAGTATCTCTGCCCAGCTGGTTCATGTTTACGTTTATATTAAGTGTTTTTCTACGGCGGAAAGTTATTATAAACGGGATAATGATGATAAAGAGTCGAGACGATAATTCGATTTTGGGTTTTTCTTAAGAGAGAAACTCCGTCGCCAAATACTTATGATCTTCCCGCTGTTTGAAAGAATTGCCACAATCCACAGTCCAAAGTTACCATCTATGAGCGTCGTTAAGGAACCTTTAAGAGCTGACTCAGGAACTACGTCAAAATCGTGCTTGGAGATTTCAAAGTAGGTAAAGAGGGCTATTCTGACTTCGTCTTAATAACCTGTAGCTGTTCGCCTTTAGCGGATCTCGAAGTATGGCTGACTGTAGTATCAGATTCCATTATAAGACATCAAAGCTATATTGTTGTTTCTGTATCTAAGCCAACATAACGAAATTAACCCGATGTTATTATGGACAGTAGATCTGTCTTTGGAGCATCGAATAGGGCTACCATTTTATTACTGCTAATAAACGTAGACGCCTCTCTGCAAGTAAGGAACGCTCGTCAACAAAAGCAGGGCGCATACTCAGAATTTGCAAACACAACAGACAACAAAATGGGGTTCTGCCCGACTGACTCTCTTGCTTTCTGAGAGTATTTATCAATAAACAATAGACTAAGGAAACTGTGGAACGGTATTTCAAGGTTCCTAAGTATAATCTCTAATAATAGTATTGGTTTTCGATAAAGCCCAAGCTCCAGCTCTTCTGTACATTGAAAATTGTTGCAACGCTGTGAAGAGAAAAAATACAAGCTGTGACTGCGTCAAGGCTTTGAACCATGAAAATAAAATAAAGTACATTCAACACCATCCGACTTGCAGGTCGGTCATCATTACCGCCCTACGGTTTAGTACAGAAGCGTTCACCACCCGGGCTTATCGACCTCAAGAATTGCATTTAGCACCAACTACAACAACCGCTTGACAAGACGGCGTACCGACAAGCACTGAACGCCATTCACCAGGAGTCAGTCAACACCTTCAAGGACTCCCTTCCAGTGAATGGCGTACTCGGAAAAATACCACCACCTATAGCAGACAACGAGCTCCAGCTGCCTCGGGAGACCCGCGTGACCCTAACACAACTCAGATCTGGATACTGTAGCAGGTTAAACTCCAACTTATCCAGACTAGACCCCAGCATGCCCAACGTATGCCCTGCGTGTGGAGAGTCTCCGCACGACACTAACCACCTCTTCACATGCCCTCTCAAACCAACTCATCTAACTCCCCTCTCCCTTTGGTCCAACCCCGTCGAAATAGCTCGTTTCCTGGGCCTACCTTTAGATGACCTCGGCGGCTTAGACTGACCAAACCTATGCCTAAGCGGGGCTAGTGAAGCGCTACAACAACAACAACACAACGGCCTACCGACCTCCCTCCCCTGCGGGTTAGGGGTTCAGGAATTTACCCGCGGTAAGGCATGGCTGTCGTAAGAGGCGGCTAGAATCCAATAGTTCCCGCGTCAGTCGGGTCCTTATACCGGAACGATACGGATTTTTATCCGGCCAAGCACTGTCACTCCCGTAACACTCCCCAAAAAGTACTTTGGGGTATATTTTTGCAGTTACAACAACGACAGGCACTAAACGCTATTCACGGAGAGTCCGTCAACACCTTCCTGAGCTCTATTTCATTTGCAAAAGAAGAGCTTGAGAGTCCCACATAATACTGTCGCAATTTAGATCTGGATATTGTAGCTGGTTAAACTCCTATCTACCCTGACTTGACACTCTCATACCCAACGTATGTTCTGCTTGCAAAGAGTCCTCATACAATACTCACCACTTCTTTGCATTCCCCCTTAAACCAACTCATCTGAGCCCCCTTTAAATCTGCTTCGAACTCGTGGAAACAGCTCGTTTCCTGGATCTTCCTCTAGATGACCACGGCGACTTAGAGTACNTGAGTTAACAAAATAATGATTGTTTTCAGTCTCAATAAACAAACCAAACAAAGCGAGGGAGAGACAAACCGCTACAACAACAACAACAACAGGGAGAGACAAAAAAGGTTATATTTTGTATAAATAAATAAAGTAAAATGCATTTTATTTTTTCATAAAAACCAAATGTCTAAAAAAACACGCTTTAGTCGCCTCGGATCGTCTTGAACTGGAGTATTTTTGGGAATTTCTTCTCTGCTGAGTTTAAGTGATTTTATTACAGCTACGATTTACTTTCACATTGACTTGTCTCCACCTAAGCTTCCTACCCCCCACCCCACTTCGCAAACTTTTTCAGCTTTTCGCTTGCCTTGGAATCTGCCATACAACTTGGGATATTTGTTCTTACTATTCTAGAAGATAAATTAAAGTACATCCAATACCATCCGACTTTTAGGTTGGTCATTATTACCGCCCTATGGTGTAGTACAAAAGCGTTCACCACCCGGGCTTATCATAAAGGGAATACTCGACATCAAGAACCGCATTTAGCACCAAAAAGTATTGTACTTTGGGGAATACTTTTGCGGTTAAAACAACAACAACGGCTTACCGACAGGTAATAAACGCCATTCACCGAGAGTCCGTCAACACCTTCCTGAGCTCTCTTTCAGTTAATGGCGTTCTTCGAGTCAAACCACCATCTATTGCAAACGAAGACCTTGAGAGTCCCACATAATATTGTCGCAATTTAGATCTGGATACTGGAGCAGGTTAAACTCCTTTCTACCCAGACTTGACACTAACATACCCAACGTATGTTCTGCTTGCAAAGAGTCCTCATACAATACTCACCACTTCTTTACATTCCCCCCTTAAATCAACTCATCTGAGCCCCCTTTAAATCTGCTTCGAACTCGTGGAAACAGCTCGTTTCCTGGATCTTCCTCTAGATGACCACGGCGACTTAGAGTACCTAAGCGGGTTTAGCGAACCGCTACAACAACAACAACAATAACAACAACAACACTCTTATTATAAAGGGTTTTCCTTTCTTTTTCAAGGAAAAAAACGACTTTTTTTCTTTAGATTTAAATATTAGCGCAGACTTTATTCGTTTGAATATTGAATTAATATTATTTATAATATAATTTTTTAAAACTAAATTTTCACATTATTGTATGTATAAACAAGGAGGAGAAAAAGAACAAAACAAAAAATATTTTTGGGCGGTAGGAAAGTCTGGTATCTGTAGAATAGATAATATAATATTTAGAGGAACCAATGGCTGACTTTTCTTCTTCTTCTTCTTTTTTTTTTTTGTTTTTTCTTTCTTAACATTATTTTAACCACTCGTGCATTATTTGTTTATTCAGCAAAACAATCACAACATGAAATGATGAACAATTTCGCTGGACACTAACAAAATACATACATATGTACATACAAGGAATTTTTATAGTCCTCTCTCTTAACTACTATAAACCAGCATACTAGTCGGTACTGTAGATGGTAAAAACAAAACAAATAACACTGCTAACGGTTATAGCCAATATAACGGCTAATGGTTATAGCCAATATTGTTGATATGCGCATTCGATTGTGTATTAACCGCAGTAGTTTTATCCGCCGGTAACTCGGGATCTTCGCGTTCTTCCTCCTCGTCAATAATACTAATGTCCCGAATGGATGGCCGATGACTGCGCCGCCAGCCTGTTCAAAGCATAGATGAAAGAGATAATCATAAATTATATTTACAACAACAACAATAAGGTAAAAAAAAGCTTTGCTGCATACCCTCCAACACTTGCGGCTGTTTGGTGCGTGTCAATAAACGCGGTCCAGTCAGCGTAATCAAAATGGCGCCCAATGGCGCTGTCAACATAATGCTTAAAATACACAACGTCTGTACAATATAGGCATAACGTTTCTCGGCGTCACTTGCATTTTCGTCCAAGTTACGCAAGGCGACCGGTGCCAGAGCTGCTTGCACTGTAGCTTTCGACATCCATGAGATGGCAACGAAAAATTTCTCTTTCGTATTCAGCCGATCGCCGAAGGCAATGCCTGCCGTACAGAAGATGCGTCCGATGGCGCCAATAACAATGCAGGCAACACCGAGGTAGACGATGTCGCCGTCCAGTTCCTTGATCTGGAAAAGAAGTCGAAAGATTTATTTTTAATTACAATTTCTTTGTTTCCTTTTATCTCTTTTCATAGCGGCAATACTTTTCTATATTCATTTATCTCTCAGACCACCCGCTGAATCTCTGTGAGAGGCAATATGTCTTAGGCACTGGCCTACACATACCTTCTCTCATTGCCGCTCCCTCTCTCAATTTCTTTGTTTTCAATGCTTTCTCTCTCTCTGTCTTCCTGACTTTCTTTGTTTTAAAGGCTTTTTCTCTCTCCCTCACTTTTTTGTTTTAAACTCTCTCAATCTCACTTTATTTGTTTGCAACAATTTCTCTCTCTCTCTCTCACCGACATTTCCTGTTTTATAGGCTTTCCATCTTTCTCTCTCTCATTTTATAAGTGGAAAGTTAGGAATCCCTCTCTCTTTCTCCCTTACTCACTCCCCCACTTCTTCTATCCGACTTTTTCTGTTCGAAAGCCTCTTTCTTTTTCCCTCCCTCTTTATGTCCCTAACTTTCCCACTCTGTCTTTCTTCCTCACTCACTCACTCACTCACTCATTTCTTTTATTCGCCTCTTAACAATTTTTTGTCTACCTGATTTTCCCCTTCTCACTGGCTCTCCCAAACTGTCTTATCCACAGTTCTATCTTTCCTCAACTCTCCTTCTCTCAACCAATATTTTTCTACTCATCCAGTGACCATTAATCAACCACAACTTTCTTTTCTATGTATCCATTCCCTTTCCTTAACACAACGCTCTCTCTCTCTCTCTCTCTCTTCCTTACACTCTCTTCTCTACACTCTTTTCTCTACACTCTTTTCATCTCAGCCACTCACCTTAATTGCAGCACCGGTAATACTGAATAATATCGGCTCGAATACCATCCAAACAATTTCAAATGCTGTCCCCACCGGATTATCGTCCACCTCCCAACCTTGTTTACACCAAAACAAATTCGATGTGAAAGCAGAAAAAACAACTGCCAACGGTCCGGCGCCTTCATATTCCAAACGCTCACTGCCATAGATAGCAACTAAGCCACCAGCGAAGAGCATTATGGTACGTAATGGTACAACATATTCATCATTCCTCTCGGGAAAGAAACGCGCCATATAACCCCAAATGACACCAAAACCCAAACCACCAATAATACAAATCGGTGCTTGTGATATTTGATAACCAAGACCACGATCCGAGAACATTACACTACTGATGATACCGAACAGCGCTACGGAGAGTGCATCATCGATGCCCGATACAGCGATAATCAATGTGGGTATACCTTTGGCCACACCATAACCCTTCGAACGTAAACGAAAGAGACATGGCACCACAACAGCCGGTGAGACGGCGGCAATAACCGCACCCAAGAGGAATGCCCAAATCCATGGTAAGTCCAAGAAAAAATGTGAGGTTAACAAAATGATGACAGCTTCCATCATCCATGGTATAATGCCAAGTTTTAATATGGTCTTGTAGACCTTACGAAATGCTTCCGGCTCCATTTCAAGTCCAGCTCGAGTAAGTATAATGGTGAGTGCGAATTTGCGTAAATGTGCTGTGACAATAGAGAAATCGCCATCCAAATGGACCAAGCCAATGTTCTGGGAAGAAATTAATGTAGAAAGAGAGAAATATTGTTATTGTTATTGTTTAAAATGCTTAACAGAAGAAGATAAGTGTAGACAATGAGATAAGAAAAAGTGAGTTAACAAAATAATGCGATTTACTTCCACATTGACTTGTCTCCACCTAAGCTTCCTACCCCCCACCCCACTTCGCAAACTTGTTTAGCTTTTCGCTTGCCTTGGAATCTGCCATACAACTTGGGATATTTGTTCTTACTATTCTAAATATGACGATAATAACTGATACAACCTTCACAATCAAATTATTGTAGGGTTTTTATTGTGTTTTTATTTTCATTCGTTATTCTTACAATTTTGATTGAACCTTTTCAATTCCGAAATTCGAAAAAATCAAAAAAAAAAAATCAAAAAAAAAAAAGAAAATCAAAACATTCTAATTATCTACAATACGTGTTGTGTACATATTCATACGCTCATGGATATATACTATATATGCATGTAAATATTTACATACAAACACTTGTGCTTATATAGCAATTACCATATCATTCGTGATTGTTAACGCTAACAAAATGCCACTAAAAACGCCGAAAAATTACATACCAACAAACATCTGAATGTATATATGTGTATGTTATGTATAAAATACAAATTAATTTGATGTAGTTACGGAGCTAGTTACTACAATATAATGCTGCTTTACATGCGCACGAACCAAACGCAATTCATACGCCCTCCCACACCCAACCCAACTTCGAGAAACCGTCAAGTAATCGACAGCTAGCTGGCAACAACACTATGACACGTTTGTAAACACCAATTGTAATTGTCAATTGAATGATCATGCTTTCATGAGCACATACATACCGTACATACATACATATCTACATATATATGAAGGTACTTACATACGTAAATATAGTAAATGGAGATATTGGAATAGAGAATGAACTCATCATACTCCTATTAGGTAGCCACCAACATACATGCATACATACATATGTACATATTCACATGTCACTCACCTGAAATAATAAACCAACGGCCAGCATACCAATTAGACGCGGCAATGTCGTCAATGATATTATCCAACCGCCAAAATTAGCTGCCACCGTAAGTACAACCAAATTGAAGAGTTGACCCCCTGGTGCGGCTGAGTCGCCGATAATTACATAAGCGGTGAACCAGATGAGTATACCTGCATAGATATATGTACATATATAAAAGTGCATGTTTATATTGCAAGTTAAGAAAAAGTATACATACGCCATACATATATGTATAAGTATACCCACCAATCAATATGAGCACAAAGAGACGTGCGAATTGTCGAAATGATGGACACAGTGGGAAGGGACAAATTTTCTGCCAGTGTGGTGGCTCCCATGATGGTTTATTCTCTTCACCACGACATTTGAGACAAAATGTATATATCCAAGATTCCTCCAATTTATTGCCATATCCTTCGAGTGACTCCTCTTGTTGGTGTTGATAGATTTTCGCGTTCAAATTGTCGAGCGCCGTAGATCTGTAGGGTCGAGTGTTGTCACCTGAAAGAGGAAGACAAAATTAGTACAGATAATGCGCAGAGAATCAAATTGAGTGAGTCTAGAAAATGTTAATGTCGAACCCAGAGTCTATTGAAATTAGGAAGGAAAAGGATCAAGTCCATCCTCATCGGTTATAAAGTAGCTTTTATAAGCAGGAAACTGTGCAACTAACGAAAATAACAACTCCTTCACAATTGGGAACCCTTCCGATAATAAACCAACATCGACATCATTGACCTAATTTCTTCAGACCCGCCAAAGAAGCGATGCATTTGGGCTGAAGTGAACGAGATCACGACGAAAGAACTCCTTATATCTAACAAATAGTCAGTGTAATCACTGCTTGGTTGCCACAGTACTGCTGACAGTGACAGTCTTAAAATAAAATGTGAAATCATTCTTGCCTACATGAAGGATCAGGTGGAGTAGGACCTGGTTCATTTTGATGTATCGAATTGGACCCGTACGACAAAGAAAAAAACGACTGGCGTAACTCTACCCACGGCAATCAGGAAGTAGGAAAAGAATTAGTGAGAAAAAGGTAAAAAAAAAACAGTCTATATATCGGAATATTTTTTTGGGATCCAATGTTTTAGAATACATTTAAGAACGATGAAGAATCACGACAGTTGAGGTTGACTTCCATCAGAACTTGATGACCAAGAAATTATTTACTGATCACTCTTTTCTCTCTTGACAGTCTACTGTTTTTGATCTTAAATTTCGATTAAACTCATGTGCCGATCGTGAGTCTATAAGCTCTTTTAAAACAGCTGAAACTTTCTAAATAAATCTATTTATAAAAATTTCAACTGAACTCTCTAGCTTCAAACACTCTCATGGAATATATTTTTTTTTTTTTTAATTTTTTTTGCGTGATTTATGATGAAGAACGAAACCATCAAGTTATTAAGTCATTACGATCGCGTCACAAGGAGCATACATATTTATTTATTTTACCGTTTGGTAGGGCAGTATTAATCGGTAATCGCCTAGAACACGCCATAACCAGCGGGGTATTGTATGTATTGGGTTGCCCCAAAAGAAACCGGCGATTTTTTGAAAGAAATTGAATAACTTTTTTTTTAATTTCATAAAGAATTTTAATCATTTATTTCATTTCCATTTTGTTGGCTGACCTTTCACCATCTTTCCGGCAACATCATTATTCCACGCTCACAGAACTTCTGGCCTTTATCTGCAAAAACCTGAACCAAGTACGATGTTATAACCTCTTAATTTTCGAAGGAAGTCTGACGTTCCAAGGTCAGGGCTATATGGTGGATGCAGCGGATACAGTTCCCAGCCAAGCTCTATCAGTTTTTGGCGAGTGGCCCAAGATGTGTGCGGTCTAGCGTTGTCCTTGTGGAATATGACACCTTTACGACTGACCAATTATGTCCGCTTCTCGTTGATGGTTGTATTCATTTTTTCCAGTTGTTCACAGTAGATATCTGAACTAATCATTTGGTTCCTTGGAAGCAGCTCAAAATATATCACACTCTTTCAATCTCGCCAAAACTGACGGCTTTTGGTGAATATCAGCCTTTGAGGTGGTTTACGGCGCTTAGTTTGCTTCAAAAACAGATCATGCCCACAAGTGTTGAAGGGAATTGTTGACTGAATGTCTTTCAATTCATGTGGTACCCAAATATCAAGTTTTTTTTTTTTACCAGTCCAAGACGTCGTAAATTATTATGAACGGTTGATTTTGGTATATTTAACTTCTCTCTAATCCCGCACTCAGTTATATGACGATTTGATTCGATTAAAGCCTTGATATCATCATCATCAACTCCACTTGTCCGACCTCTACGTAGTTTGTCTTTGAGTGAAAAATCTCCCGAAAGAAGTTTGACAAACCAATTTCAACACTCTGCTTCTTTTAATGCCTTATCACCATCCAAAGAAAAAAAATACAATTAAATAGCTACGAGTTTCAAAAGAAGCTAAAGATCCTCGGTTTCTTTTGGAGCAACCCAATATATACTCGAACTAGTACATGTGTACATATAAGATAAATTTGTCTCAGTGCCCCAAAAGTATACTTAGGTACGAGTAGTTAAAAAAAGGAGTGTATATACATAAATTATATTATATGGTCGGAGTAAAGTGGTTTTAAGTGAGCTATTTCCTAGAGCTAAAATATCTCTCAGCTCTTTTTAAGAAACTATTTTCGGCCGAGCTCCACCTATGACTTTTGTTGTGCGTCTGAATGTTGTTGCAACGAATGAAGCATGCAGTTTATTCTAAGCCGCCTCCGAACGGCCGATGCATTTTTAATAGGAGTCAGAAATATACTCAGAGGACTTGACGTTGTCGTTCGAAGCTTAAGAAATAGTAGATACGCACGGTGCTGTTACGAAAGAAGCCAAACCTTATATTCCTCACAGTAAAATATTCGGGTGTTGAGATTTATATCAAACTGAATTTGAAGATGAGTATTCTAAAATAGAGAAAATAGAGAAACTACATTGGCCTATTGCACCTGCAAGAGAATATTGAGTAGGAACTGTAGCCTTAAACTAAATAAAGTAATGTAACTTTTCATGGCCAATATAAGATTAAGAATTACACAAACGGAACTGAAATAAGAATTTTAATTGAATACAATGAGTAGCTTGTGCAGAGAATACGGAAGCCATCAAATCATGCCTTACAGTTGTGCGGAACATACTTCTGTATCAATTGCCTATAGACATCTTCCTTCGCAAAGTTGCAGCAGGTTTCATTATCAGACTAATGTAGTGTGGTTGTTGGAGCCCAAAATGATTTGGACACAATGATATATTATAGGAAGACTAGATTTCAACAATTGATTCCAGGTGAGTACACCTTCAAGACGTGAATAGAGGAGAGGTTTTGGCGTAGAGAAGAATACTAACTCAATTAATACACAGAAGTTCAAAACGTGAAGGCGAAGATATAAGAATTTAATTATCATCTTCCAAGCCGAAAAAATAGGTGTAGAAAAGTTCTGTTAAGCTGAAAAAATACAACTGAATAAGGCAATTATGTAGACACATAACCAGGATAAATTCAAGCATCGTCAACAACTCGTCATAACCCACTATCTGCGTACACAGTTATGGTAAATTTGTTTGATCACTAAAGAGCTGAGAAAGCTTCCCTTATAATTTGAATAAATATCACTTGGCAATTGTTGAAAATTCATATCCAACTCTTAGATATCAAATCAGATTTGGCTCAAGTGTAATATTGCTCTCAGAAAATCATATTCATATCTTTTCTACTCTCTTTAAAACTGATACTAGATGACAGACGAGAGACTGTTAAGTTTGTTTAGCTAGTGCGGTTTATCAGGATCCTCAGTGATATCACAATGAACCCGTGTATGCTGATGTCCGGCAACCACTTCAACCAACCAACCACAGCACATGCTTACACAAACAATAACAGTTTTCGAGCTCTATGGTGAGCGTGGGTCTACCCTATAATAGTCGTTGCCGTAGCTGCTAATTAGAAAGGAATATGGAAATAATAAGCTTTCCGGCAAAACCGTTACATAACACTTTGAATTCATTAGTTACCCCACCCTGAATGGCTGTCCACAAAAAGAATATCAAATATGAGAAGTAACTATGAAAAATGAGAACAGAAATGTTGAGCGCTTACTTAAGACGTAGGTTTAGAACCTTTCGGCCTTATGCACTACTCCTGCAAAAGATGTCCCAAAACCATATTTTTGCGGTTAGGATTTTTAAAAATCTGAATGCAACGATAGATTAATGAAGGCAGTGAAGGAAACATAATTTTTCACTAAAATTTTCTATCCAAAAAAAAAAAAATAATAATCGCTCTCGCTACAGCCTTAGCTAGGTATTCTAGGTTACGATCGAATCGAAAGAAGAAGAGGCAGTGACAAGACCTTTTCGAAACCACTTGTTGGATGTGAATGTGCGAAATTGAAACCAAATAAAACTGACAGTAGAGACAATGTAGAGACATTCTGCTATCCCTAAATTTTAGCGCTGAGCGCTAAAAATTAGTCCCACAATAACGCCGCGTCAACGTTGAGCAAATGGAATTTTCAATTTTGACAGCGCGTTATACGATAAAGTTGGATGTGAATATAAAAATTTGAAAGAAATGAGGATAAACTGACGAAGAAAAATAAGCGAATTGAAGAAAATTTGGGCAAATAAATTATATTTTGAAAATGAAATGGTAAATATTCACTGAAAAGTTTATTCAACAGGTGAAGGCACATTTTTGCCGACCGATTAAGTTCGTATTATCTTGTTTGAAATAAATGCAATTAATTTATTAAATGTTTTTAAAATAATGCGAACTTGAAGAGAAAGAGAAAACGCCAAAACTTTAGCTCTCTTATTTTGGGATAGCGACCGTTGCCTCTAATTTACGTGAGTAAACGCTACGCCGAACGCTCCAATTTAGGTATGCCAGATTAAATTAACTTAACCCTCTTTTTATTTTGCTTCCTTCTTTGACGCTTTCTTTGATCTGCGCTTAAAACTGAAAACCGGAAACAAACATATGTGCTCCTTTTTAAATAAGCGATGAATTAGGACGCTTTCAAGTATGTCCTTGATTCTTTAAAATAAAAAAAACTCGAACTAGTACCTTGACATCGTAATCTTATCATTTATTCAAATCGTAGCTGTTTTGAGATAATTTTCTGGAAGGCATGGAGACTTTTGATGAAATATCTAGTGATTTAGAATATTATCATCTTCTTTCAAAAAGTCCTTCACTTCTTTTCTCAGGAGCTTTGGAAATATCTCTTTTGGTTGCTTATGTTAAGTTACGTGTTATTTTTCATGCCGTTTTTGTGTTGTATCAAAAATCATAAATAGGCCCCAAATCATCATCATCACTTTCACAACTATCAATATCAAGTATTACTCATGATACGAAAATATAAATGTAAAGGGTGATTTTTTTGCTATTATCTTCTTGGCAACACTGGTTTAAACAACTGACGCACGCTTCGTATTTTGTATCACTGTTAAACAGCT